TCCCCTATACAGAATTTTATTGTTGTTAACAACCATTTGATCAATAAATATGAGAGATGCCCTCTCAAAAAAAAAAAAGAGAGGCATAATCCATACAATGAGTAAATGTATAAAATATACTATCTTATTATACCATTTATAACATGCAATTAAATAATGGAATAACTGAACTCCTTTATAAAAAAAATCAACTATTAAATTCAGTTACCAAAAATAAAATAAATGGTACGTATTTTAAAAAACCATACAAAATTCAAAACACATAAAAACACTAAAATAATGAGGGACCAATGTATCAATGACACTTACCAGAACGCCAGCAGCAATGGAAGCAATAGTATTGCGCTTTTCCCCCCAGTCAATGCATTCTGAGCATCTCAAGCCTTCTAGAAATCCAGACATTTTTTCAGGTCACTTAAAAAACAAATAAAATAACCAACTAAATAAAGTACTTCATTTTACTTACTTCAAACTTCTGTTCTTAGAAAACAATTACCAGCTCAGGAATAATTTAATAAAAATGAGGTTGCAAATACTTTATTTTGACTACATATATCTCTTCAAAATATTTGATTTAGCTTTTGATGAATTTCCACTTTACCACTTTGGAAAACAAAATCTGGACTCATTTACATATTATATGAGTTTGATATTTATAGTTCAGTAGCACTAACATAGTGAAGACATGATAATCTTTGGCTCTGAATTAAAGCATGTACTCAAATGAAAAACATTTCTTAGGAATCTACACATTTTATCAGAGAATGTGTGCTACTTCACATTGCACGTTCTGCAAATTAAATACTGCACTTCCTTTCACTTCATTATTTTTCCTTTCCCAAGCCTGCTCTTTGGAGTCACTTCTATGTAAAGAACACCCATTTAATTTGAATATCTGTAGCTCTGATTCTAATATATGTTTTCCAACCAGAAGCACACAACTTAATACTAATTCAGACCAAAAAACTTCACTGCTAAGTGAATTATGACCATAGATAAATTACCATGGCTGACCTAAACTGTCTTAACAAATTACATAAAACATTCTTCGGAGGAGCTGAGCTGTGCAGACCTGGCCTGAGATACATCTTTACCACCTCTATTTCAGAGTATGAAAAAGCGTGAATTACGTATAACTTGCTCATAATCAAGAACACCCAAACTCCCACAGCAAATCTGAACCGCTCCATTAAGCAACTCTGGAGCCAGCAATCGTGGTTGTCCAAAACATGATACCCCAAAAAAAGCAATGAATCCAATTGTAACATCCCTTTGAAAAATTAAATATTAAGAACTGTGCTTATAACCAGTACTAATATGCCTTTAAGACAAGTCCAATTTTGAAAATTCACTCGTTTTATTCTTTCCTGGGATAAAAAGCAATCCAGCAGGTTTTATTTTCGATTCATCTCAAGACCCCGCCCCGAATCCATGTTTTTTCGGCTTATTACCGGTACATAAATGCCCAAACTCCGCCCTCCAGTCTCGGGGGCGTTTAAGTCTCGAGAGGACTGGGATTGGGAAGATCAGGGAGTTCGTTCCAGGTCGGCCACCCACGTCGTGTGAACCAGCCAGGTTACATCCCTCTACGGGTCTGTTTCTCCAGCTCTAAAGGGATGACAAGGTGATTTTCCGGGATCCAATGGCTGCCCAGGAAGGGCGCGGTCGCCCTCTCCCGCCGCCGGCCGGACCCCGGGCAAGGGAAGTGGCCAGGAAGGCTCCAGCAAGTCACTGCCCAAGCCCGCAGCTTCCCAGAGGAGGAGGCAACGACCAGAGATGCAGGCAACTGCCAGCATCAGCGGGCAGACAGTCCCGGGCCCGAGCCTGGTCCGGCCTGCAGCGGTTCTTCCCCTTCCCCACTCCCGCCTGGCACTTACGTCCTACCCGGCCAGTGCAGTCGGTTCGGAGCCGGGGTGGCGCCGCGCCGAGCCGCCTCACTTTCCCAGCACCCAGCCAAGAAAACAAAACAGCTACGGGACGCCGGATACCCGGATGGGGCAGCAGCCCCCGCCCCGGCGGCTCGGTTGCGCATGCGGAGATAAGGACGGAGGGAGGAGCGCGGGGAAGCAGCAGAAAGGGCAGCGGCTGGACCACAGGGAGCCACGCCCGCCAGGAGGAGCCACGCCCACCGCACTAAGGTCTTTGCGCGTCTCTGGGCGCCTGCTGCGAGGACTGTCCGCTACGCTGATTCGCTTGCGGACGGCGGAAGTAATGGTTTCAGTACACCTTTGAGGGGTAGTTGTGGGAATTCGCTCTTTGCCCTAAGCTTTTGAAGGGAAGGCGTCTGTTGGGCTTTTCTATGCGTCTTGAAGGAGGTAGTAAGTCTTCTAAGGGTGGAGTCCCGCAGTTATCTCCTGCGTTGGAGGCAGAAAGGTGCCAGTGTCCTCGTGGTGCAAAAAGTGGGTCCAGGTTCGCGGTTTTGAGTCTTATTTATTTTCTCAGTGCCTGGCCCTGCACTGACAGTGGCTCCGACTTAAGAACGGGCGGGGTCACTCCCGGGAGGCGGGTAAGTCCGTTTGGTCGCGCGGGGTACTGTGGGGCCCAGATCCCTGCGCCGTGATCCATTTTTGGGACTTGACCATTTTTTTCCTTTGCTTTAAGGCAGGGTTTCACAATCTAGGCACTTACGGACATTTTAGGCCAGGTAATTCTGTTTATGACTTGAATGTCCTGTGCACTATGGGATGTTTATGTGCATATCCGGCATCTACCCCCTCGATGCTGTGCCATCCCCCCAGTGTGACAACCTAAAATGGGTTCAGACTTTGACAGATAACCCCTCCCGGGGAAAATTGTCTGGGTTAGGTTGGATGTTTAGGAGATAGCTGGGGTCTTGAGGAAGTGACCCTTTTCAAAAAACGGAAGCAGTGATGTCTTATCTTCGTGAACGACTTGTGGCCGGGCTCTCCTCTTCCAGAAGCTCTGGGTCCGGTTCCAGCCTGTCCAGTTGGTGGTCGTCCAGGAGTCGGAGCCGGCCCGGAGCAGGAGCCAGTCTCATTCCAGGAGGCGCCACCAGAGAAAGTCCACGCGCCACTTGTGGTCTTTACTCGCCCGAGCCAGTTGAGTCTTCGCAGTAGGTATTGCTTTCGGGGAAGGTCGCATTACAAAAAGGACTACGCGATCGCCGGGGTCGGGCGGGGGACAGTACGGCGCCTTTGAATGTACGGTGTATCTGAAAACACAGCAGTTGAAGAGTTCCAGGAAGAAGAGATCGCAGAGCAGAACCCATTTTCTAAAAAGGGTAGGTGGGTCGTTTGTTAAGAGAGACACAGATTCGACTCTTCTTACGTATGAAGCGACAGTACATGAGTAAGCTAGGGAACCACGGTTGTGTTATTTATTTTATTTTGTTTCCTTTGATGCGTGAAATCTGGGTAGTTTTGTTTTTGTGAGGGTTATTAACTGATTAGACCACCAGACTATACGATAAAATCCATACCTTGTTTTTAAATGGACATCATTCTTACCCCTCAAGATTAAAGGATAATTGTGACACTTAAATGGCTCAGGATGGAGAAATCTAATGCAGACAGTTCTTCGTAGAACCTTTTTAGTGTCTTAATGACTTAACGTTAGTTTACCTGCTCTGAGCGGCATTTAACAGATCGTCTCAGCTTTTTGTAAGTTAACTAATGACTGAGAGGAACAGTATTAACTTTCTCTTGTGTTTTCTGTCTCCACCCTTTTTTGCATTTACTGGCATTAGCATGATTATCAAATATTTTGTAAACAGAAGTGAACATCTTTATATGCTGTTCTAATAAAGTGAATGCTTATTTTGTCATTCTTAGCCTTTTTGGGATATGGTATGGAATTACTGAGTGTTTGTTTTTGTCCTTTGTAGATAGAATTGAACTAATAGAAATAGCAAAAGCCAGTGCAGCTAAATCATTAGGAATAGCCGACCTTGACTTGCCAACTAGTCACAGAACTGTTCCTTTAGGTAAAGAAAGGAACTGTGGAATGGCTGTACCAAATACTGCAAAGTTCGAGGTAAGCCAGATTTATCCAAACAAAACCTTCAGGAAAACTACTTCCAGAAAAATCAGTTTAACCATTTTTATTTTATTTACCTTAGGCTACACTTCTCAAAGTCTAAATGACAAAATAGCAGATCTGAAAATATGAGATGGCTCTTACTCATGAAAATGGGAGAGTAATGAGCTTTATTTTTGGTGACCAACCAACCATACCATTGGAACTGTCCCTGGAAGTCTCATGCTCCAAAAAACTCCTCCTGAGTGACAAAAATCCTACTTTTCAGCAATTAGTGCCAAAGATTGTGGGAGGGGGTAAGATACAAACCCCTGTAATGGCCCCCCAAAAGGAGGCTGAAGACAACACAGTTTTTAGTGACAAATGAATATGGAGATAGTCTGCCTTCTGTTGACACTGTTACTGACAACAAGATTTTGGTTCACAATAGTAATGGTAGCATTCTTTCAGAGCAATTTACATTGTGGTTGTGGTTGTGATTGTGTTAACAGTCCAATTAACTTGTGCTTTGTATAAAGATAGTGCTAGTTTAATTTTTAGCTTTGTGGATATTGTGACCATGATTTCTAAGAGTTCAGGTAATGAAAATTAGAGTGAGTATAATATCAGCACCAGCATGATCCAGACAGTACCAAAAAAGAAGACTAAACGGCTGTTAGTTTAATGACAGATGCAACGTACTACTGGATTAGGGCAGCACCTAATCCAAACATAGTATACTGCACAATATGCAGAAAATAATTTGGGGTTGGGCATGGTGGGAGGAGGAGATGTGAAAACACATGGAGACTGAATCCCACAGGTCTGGGAAGGGATAAAGCAAGTGCTTTTGAATCAGTTAAGAGTGTTTTCATCTTCCCAAAAAGACAGGAATGTTCAGTTGGAAATAGCAGCTGCTGAATTAGCTTGGGCATTCCACACAAATGAACATGCATTATTGTATTGTTCCCTTGGTTGTTTTATGAAACTGAGTGAAGTTACATTTCCTGATTGAGAGGTTGCAACTAAAATGTCCTGTGGGCGAGCAGAAAGGGGAATTTTGATCACAGATATGTTGGCCTCTTACAGCGTAGAGCTGATTCCTTTAGATCTTACCAATAATCATGCTTTCTATGGTATATCAAGTGATGTGTTGAAACATGGGAATAAAAGTTTTCCCCCTATAGCTCTCAGGTACTTTGACTTGAAAATGGAGTTTCTAATTGTCTTCTTGATTTCTATGAAGACCCTAATGAAACCTCAGAAAACGTAAAACCAAAGATCATTGACATCCTGTCCAAATACAAACTGGACTTTGCTCACCTATCTGCATTTTCAGCAGATAGCACAGATGTAAAGTTCAGCAAATTCTACTCAGTCTATAAACTCCTTACCAAAGAAAAGGAAAAGATCTTACATGCCAAATGTCCTGCCCACCTTATATATAAGACAGCCCTAAAAGGATGCAATTGGCTTTCCTGTGACATTGAGGTTTTCATGATGAAAGCTTTTGGTTACTTTTCAGTTTCCTGAAAACATACAGAAACACTTACTGAGGTTTTTGACTTTGTAGAAATGGAAGGAGATAGACTTCTTAGATATATGCCTACAAGATGGCTATCATTGTTGCCAGCCATAGGAAAGATACTAAAATATTGGCCTACTGTAAAATCCTATTTTTAAAGCATGGGAAAAGAAGCAGGTCCTTCTCTAATTTGGAAATACGTTAAGGATGAGAATGGTGAAAAGGATTACAGAAATTTATGTGTTGTTTCTCCAGAACTGCTTGATCTTTGAAGAGGCCATAAGGAGCCTAGAAAAGGATAAACTGCATCTGAGTTATTTGATGTTATGTGTAAATTGCAAAAAAAAAACAAAACCCTCATACAGTGAAAAAATGACTCATTTTTTGGAAAGAAGACTGCTCTACAACAGAAAAAAATGTCACCAGAAATGAGCAACCAAATTAAACAGGACTTTCTTAATTTCCTTTCTAGAACTATAACTTATTTGGAATCCAACTTTGATTTTACAAATTTACATTCCCTCTAGGCTTTAAAACCATTTTACCTGAGAACGATAGGTTTGACTTTGTGATTCCCACTTGTCCAACACCAAATGCAATAGTGTATTTTTCCCTACATATATGTATAACAATAACAATATTATATACAGCAGTAATAGTAATATAACTTCATTCAGATATCCAGACCCTATTCCAATGTGTGTAAATATGTGGGAGGGGTTCTTCCCATACATACTTAACACCAAGCAATTCTGGAACACCAGCAGGGTGTTCTAGAACTCAATTCTGCCACTACCTGCCCGGAGACAGCACCAGATTGCCAGGTTAAGGGCTCCCTCCACCCCCCACTCCAGATGCTGGTCGCAAGCTGCAAGCAGTTACCTGTGCTTCTGACCTACCAGCTACAGATTGGAGTTTCCTACGATCTCCCCCTTAGGTTCAATTAATTTGCTAGAGTGGCTCACAGAACTTGGGAAAACATGTTTACCAGTTTAATGAAGGATACAAGTTAACAGCCAGATGAAGAGAGACATAGGACAAGGTCCCAAATAAAGGAGCTTTTGTCCTCTTGGAGCTTGGGGGCCTGGCTCTCTGGCATGTGGAGGCGTTCTGGTTCCCCAAGCATAGAAGCTCTCTCCCACCAAGAAACAGGATCCAACCAAGCAGAGCAGAGAGAAAGCAAAAAGCTCTTCTCGGGTTTTTGTGAGGACTCCTTGGATAGTCACGACTGACAAAATTATTGGCCATTTGCTGATTCAGCCTCCAGTCCCCACTTGAGTCGGGGAAGGGGGTGTCCAAAAGTCTCTCATTCACATGACAAAACACCCGTTTCACCTTTAAGATGGCAGTGTTTCCAGGAACTGGATAAAGACCAAATATACCTAGGAAATACATATATTTGGTCATATGAGTGACCAAATACATTTATTTATTATGATTTATTATATCACAAACTTACAGTGACATCCAATATACTAAAAAATGTTTAAAAATGATGGACATTTTGGACATGGATAACCTCTATGATGAATTTATAGATACAGAGGGCCTGACTGACAAATGGCTCGCCTACCAAAACAAGTCCAAAATGGATGGACATTTTTGGAGAGCTAGAAATGAATTCCTACAAGTGTAAGAACTTGCTGTTGCTAGTGAGTAAAATCTTAAGTATTCCATGCTCAAATGTTTTTGTTGAGAGGACATTCAGGTTGATGTTAACCACATTGGACTGAAACCAGGGATCAGTATAATGCTGGTTTGATAAGAGCACAACTGCCAGTCAGAGAATTTTACATTTGACTATATTCAGCTTTACCACTACATAAAAGAAGGATGCCCTAAAGGCTGCAGGTAGTTCAAAGAAGTATTGGAAAAGGAAACAAAAGGAGTAAAAATATTCTGTATTAGGAGACAGAAACATGCCATTGTTATTTTTTGAAAAATGTAGCAATGTCCTATTGTATTTACATTCTCCTTTTAAAAAGTCTTATACTTTTGCATCTTAAGTATACAGTATAGATTTCTCTCAGACTGTTCAAGTACAGTTGGACAATATCCATCATATCATAGACAAATTCTCACAAATGCCTAGGGTGCCTAACTGGTTTTCTTGGCTTCACTGGAGATGGCTGGTAATTATAGATTTGCTTTGTTTATGTCACC